AGCAATGCGGCCTTGAAACGAGTGCCTGGGCGCAGTGCAATTACACGTCTTTAGATATTGGTTAGCGATAACGAAATTTCATCAAATCTATAAACTGGAGAATGGATGTCATGTGCTTTGAAAACTATGATAAGCCAATGATGAATTGATTGCAATTGCATAGGAAAAGTCATTAATTCGTCGAAGCATTGTCTATAATTTTCTCCAGTTTTATCCTTTAATAGCGTACATTATCGATAAATTATTTATTCAAAAGGAAATTGGATATTAATTTTGTCAAAAGTTATATTAAATTCTAAAATACCACAAGAGAATTAATGTATGTGGTTTTATAGAAATCAAACTAGATGTAAGGGGTTTGACGATAAAATAATAGTAAATTTCACAAAATACTTTGACATTATGTATTTTAAAGAAATACATTTCTCTAACGTTTAATTTAGAATTTAAGAAAGATATTTTATCCATCAATTGTTGTAAATAACAATTAGTATTCTAAATTTTAAATACAAATTGTTTATAAATAAATGTATGATGGATTAAAGCGAAATATAATGAAGATAACCAGTAATTGCTTCGTTTAAACAGATGCAACTTAACGGGAAATAGAGACGGATATTTTCCGATTAAATCTAATTAACTGGTAACATTAGTAGTTCAGTAAATTTATTCAAGATAACGAAACTTAAATTAATAGTACCTTTTTTGTAAATTACTTAAGGCTGTTTATAATTCTATTCATATTAAATAAATGGTTTTAAAACAAAATTGCAAAAAAAAAAAAAAAAAAAAAAAAAGTGTAATTTGGCAAGAAGACTTGCCACTACATTGCTATATCTATTGATATTATATAAGATCTAATCGATCTTTACTCAATAAAGTGCATAAATGCTCTTCGAATGGAAGAATTATCATTTAGTGAAATAAAGTTGTAATTGGAAATAAAGTTTACGGAGCATTAATTTAAACATACATAAATTACTCAGGTCGCTTTCATTTTATGAATCTATTGGATTACTTGAGAAAGCTTGAAATGAAGCCACTCAAACAGGTAAAACATTCAATTAAAATCCTCACTCTTATCAAACAATATAAGCGGTATAAATTAAATTATCATTAGCTTTATCAAGGCATCGTATATATACTCTTGAAAAATAAAAAATCCCTTCGGATAACTAAAATTTTTTCTTTCTCCGCAAAGCTCCTTCGTTTGTTACAATTTCTTTTTATCATCTGTTTCACTCATCAGTTCGCTTTCTTTCCTCTACTCAGATCACGCAAAACTTTGAATTTCCAATCGCGCATAATCATGAGATCAGAATGAGAGACAATGGCAGCGGAAAATATAAACAATGTAGAGAAATGAAACAACGACCGAGTGGTTTGGCCTTGATTTATCGGGAATCCTCGAGGATTATTATAGGCTGCGGAAAGTCGGAGATCCGCGAATGAGATGCTAAATTAAGTAGCAGCGCTTCGATACTTACTTTTACCTTCTTTTTGCGCATTGTTGATTATATTGCCCAATACAGTACTGTCACATTGAGGCGTAAAGGTACATTGGCGTAGAAGAAATTGCCATGCGTCCACTTAAGAAAGGACAAAAAATGGCCGACATTGTTTGGAATTGGCGAGGGAAAAGCAGTGAGTGATCGAAGCGCATAACTTATTATACAAAGGACTTTCCATGAAACGTAATGTATGATACTTCCCGGGCAATTGTCTCGATAATTGGATATTATCCTCGAAATTTCTGTTCAATAGTATAGCGAATCAATAGCGATAAACGTAAAGTGTCGATCGGCTGATTCTGTCGATGGTATTAGCTTGGCTCTATTATGCATCAAAATTAGCCCTTCCAACATCGCTCATTCTCCCGTCGAAAATACGTAAATTTCTAAACCGCGAGATTAAGAGGATTAAAATCTTGTTTCGACAAGATGTTTGATTCGTTCGATTCCTCTAATACTCGGTACAATTGTTAGGGCATCGACGAGTCTTCGGCAACCATTTCCATCTCTAATACGCGTGTTTCAAAATTTTTCACAATTGGCTCCTACAGCTCCGTTTGCAAATAAAAAAAGGCTTAGAAGCCCAGCGGGTCGAAGGCCAAATGGCCGTTTTATTGGGCCAACATGCAAAATGGCGATATGACAAGGGGAGAGAGGGTAAGTAATGGCGCCGTCACCGAAGAGCTCGGTCGAGCAGACGAGGTAACGAAGGAAGGACTCGGTGCTTAAGGACGAGCTATTAGCGCGCATTGGAATGTCTTGCACCGAGATAAATTGCGAAAGGTGTGCGGCTTACTCGGTGGCCGCTCGGATCTCCTCCTTCGACTAATTACCCGGACACCTTTGTTAAGGCGCTAGCGAGGCAATGGCCTGGTCGAGTTAATTATCGTCGACGCGTCGACTTCAAGGAAATGGACGGTGGCAAAATGGCGCATAACGACTCGAGGCTACTCGTTATCGTGGAGGAGCTGCGGGAGGCGATGGAGAGGATGTGCAGACCGGAGAGGAAGGAGGAAGAGATCGAGACGGACTCGCTGGAGATCGAGGTGGGCACGGTCTCGCCGCTGCTCCCATCGTCACGCACACTTATTCTTTCCCCTTTAATGAACATCCGCGAATGGAGAGTAAAGCGCGCATGCCTGCAAGCGCGTGAAAGAAAGCGAGAGGATAAGGGAGAGAGTGAGGATGAACGGGGGAAGTGGAAAGGCAATAATTAGGGAACTAGAAGGACTGAATTCATTACAGCAGAATCGCTAGCCATCCACTTTTCATTTATTTAACGCTCTTTCGCTTTACTTTTTCTTTGTCTATTTCCATCTCTACTTATTCTCTCTCCACACTAATATATATATATATATATATATATATATCTGTCCTATAGAATGAGGAAAAATGTAATCTTTATTTCTGCAGTTTTTCAATTGACTTATTTTACCGACTTATTATGCCAATATATTTCACTAACATAATTTTTATAGCTAATAGACAGTTTCTCGTAAATTTCATTTTACCTACCGTAGCCTAATTATATTATTAACTCTTATAATTCTAGGTAAAATATTTTTATATCGTATGATTTGTATTTCTTTTATTATTTTTGCCTCGAAACGGTATTTCAATGTGCCAAAAGAAAGCAGAAAAAATATGTTTCGATCGTTTTATCGAAATGTCCGTATTTTTAACGAATGGCTTGCATACTTTTGGAAAATTGATCGATGTGATCACAATAAAAGAAAGCAATTATTATTAAGAAACAAATGAATAATGTGTAAAAATTTCCAAATAATTCGTTAATACTTAATTCTATCGGCATAGAAAGGAAAATTTTTTGGAAGATTAATAATTCGAATTTGTATTTAAAAAATAAATGAAACTATTGGTATGTAGTTATATATTTTTGTCACTCTAGATGATCAATGAATTTTGAAATATCTTTTAAAAATATTTTTATCGTCTGCCAGCTGTATTAATAAGTATTAAGTAATAATAAATATTATAATTAATAAGTATACAAACATAAAGACATGTTTAATTATTATTTAAGTGCCTGTTCGTACGATGTGGAAAGAAAAGATAAATTTTCCAAATAGGCATTATATAAACAATATAAAATTTTTAAATCTTACCGAGGAATTTTCAAATCGTTAATCGAGGAAATTGCTAAAAGAAATTCTCTAGAATTAAATTTTAGTCAAAAATATATAGATATAAACGCAAGTTAATATAAACCGAATTCAGTCAGGCAGTACTTGACCAAACTGAACATTTGCATTCCTGTAAATTATGTTGTTGTACGATATTTAATTGTACTTTATTCAAGTACGGTATTACCTGTACAAGCTTATATATATATATATATATATATATAGATTATGAATAATTTCCCTTTCTACGAGAAATACTTCAGTCTGTCGAAATTAATTTTCTCACGCTAGATCGTTCAAGCAATCGGAAAATTTATTAAATCAATATTTAAAAATGAATATTTTTACGGGTTTTCCGTAAAAAAGCTTTTGCTAAGTAGATAAAATTACCATGAGAAGATTATGTCTATTTCATGAAATATCGATTGTACGTGAAAAATTTGTTTACCATTTAAAGGAATCTTTTTCTTAAAAAAAAAAAAAAAGTTTCATGTCTAAACAACCGCTCCTATCACCTATTTAAGAAAATCCTCTTTTATAGTACGATACTTTAAAGTAAGTAAGATAAAGAATTTTGTCTGTAATTTAGTTAATTGAATGAAAATTTTAGCTTTTTCAATTCATTCCAATGATTTAGTTAATATTTATGTTTACATACGTTCTTCACCGAACCCATATTTATTATTCGATAAATTTCTTACAAATGTGTACATTTTACGAAGAGGCATAATTATATGTAGCTTACAACAATATTACGCTCATTATTAAAATGTCGTGAAATTCATGAATTTCACTTATGTACTGTAAGTCAGAAATAATTGTCAATTATATATTTTATTTGCATGCCATTAAAATTTCATTAAAATTTTATTAAAAATTTTCTACTCTAGATTAATAAATATTCATGTCTTTTCTAGAAGAAATAATGTAAATCCAGCATTAGAGTAAAATCAACTGAAAAAAATTATGAGGAATAATAAAATAGAATCGGAGAACACAAAAGAATAGTTTATCGAGTAATTATCAAGTAATTATCAAGTTGATTTATAGAGATTTTTTTTTCACGGTGCATCTCTTACAACCATTCTTTTCGGTCCTTCTTTCAATTTTTTTCGATTAAATCTCCATTTCCGCGAGAGCAGAGCCACGCGCCATTCTGAATCTTCCTTTGAAACGAAATTACATATGTATATATATATATATATATATATATATATATATATATATATATATATAATGTAAAGGTCCCTATAAAATCCCGCCCTCTTCCAATTTCAACCATCCTTGCAAATACACGTGTGCCCAGGAATTTAAGCTTCAAATGCGATTCTTTAACTTTTTGCAGGCATGTCAGACGGCGCCAACGACCTCTGGTCAGCCCATAAAATTGGACATGAGCGAGACGGGGGTGTCGAGGATTCCGGAAACTGTGCGGTCATTTGCCGGCGTGCGGGAATTCTTTCTAGGTCACAATCAATTGTCTCCAGTCGACGGAAACTTCAAACTTCTGCTCAGGTATATATTGAAATTAGAATCTCAATGGTGGTTGGATAGCTCGACATTCGGTCTCGACATCCTTTCGCTTTTCGTACCTTTTGCAGCTCTATAACCGCGAATTTTACAAATTATTATCATTACAACGACGTATCAATTAAGCTTTTCTATCGTTCCTCGAAGCTTAAATTTTTTCTTAATGCAGATATAATTATGGTTTTATATTCGTTTCTCAGTATTACTAAAACAAAACAAAAAAAAAATCATATTTAATAATGTTTTTTAATCTAGTGATTTTGCTTTAGTTCCGAAGATTATAATGATATATATGTAATAAGCCATTCTGGAACTAACAATCTTGGAAATAAGATTTTAAACTTAAACCGTTTATACATGGTATTTAGTGAAATAAGTTTATCCGAATTTTCTTTTCTATTTGACAATACAACAATATATTAGAAATTATTTGTTGAAAATATAAGTTATCCATTTAATATAATGCACAATTCATAACGTAATTGATGTTTGAGATATAAGAATAAACTATTGTTTTATATACGAGGTATTTGAGTGCGTATATTGTGAATTTGTCCTACATAATCAAAGTATGGAAAAAAATATTTTTAATTATTCTATATACGAATTAGAGTGATTCCCCGAAATTAACAATATTTTTCTCTCCATAGGATGTTTATGTGAATTAATCGAAATGATCATAAGGAACATTGTTTGTTATTTTATTCATAATAATGTTTATTTATTATAATTTAGAATAATAAGATATATTAATTTTAATAAAATATTATTTTTATATTTACAAATAATTTCGTGCGATCTATTTTCGAATAACATTATATGCACGAGGATATAGCGTATATTGCGTATTTCATCCTTCTTTATTCTTCTATTTTAACAAAAGATCAGTTTTCAATGTTTAAAATTTATATAAATATTTTCTGCTAGAATTTCTAATTTCTTTGTAATTATTTTCTATATATTATAATTTGCGGAAAATTTATAAAAATCTTGATATGTTAGTGATTTGTAACAGAAGAAATTTTATAGATTAATTAATTGTAACATGTAGATTTTGTATGAGAAAACGATAGCTTATGCTGAGAACATTTCATGTTCAACAAATTTATTCGAATATATCTTGTTTATCTAATTTTATCTGAATACTATTTTATTTTTCAACTTAATGCTAAAATAAATAAATTGAAAAAAATTTTTTTAACACTCATAAGAAAGTTTAAATGTTGTTTGTGATTTCCTATTGTTCATACACTAGTAGCATTTTATTATGTGAATAATGCATTAACTCATGTAAAAGATAAAAATAGAAGAAATAAAAAAAAAAAAAATGTAAAATGTTGAAATTATAAGATATCGAACTTCAATAAATGGTGATATTTAACTTCTCAAGCCGTTGAAATGGTAAAATTATTTAGTCAAAGAATGCCAAATATGATATTTTCATAAGTAGAATTTAGCAAATAAATGTGATAAAGATATATAATAATAGTAAAGTCTATTGTAAAATTATATGTTAATAATTAAAATTTTAACAATTATTTTAAAGTATTTAAAGAGAGAGTTAATATCGATATAATTAAGCTGACATTTCTATGTTCTTATACATTAAATTTTAACAATCCTTTAACATTAATTTCGAATCCTTTTATTGCTATAGAATATACTAAATTTGATAGGAAACCTACTTTTCAGAGAATAAACAAATACTTTATTTTTAATTAGAGTAGTTTGTAAATACATTTTTTTCTATTCTTTGTTTTATGTATTTATTTATTTTTTTTTTTTTAAAAGGGCGTCAGTAGGTCCAAGTAGGTCCGCCAATTCCGCTTTAAATTCATATTAATAGGAAAAAACTAAGCGTTTGGCTCGAGTGTCCTCGATCAATCTCACGATTTCTTAAAGGATAAAAAGCAACGCGGATGAATTTCTAATATAAAGGAAATTGGCCCTTTAAATACAACAGCCTGACTGTTTTAAGATTTATCGTAAATCGTAATTAAAAAGTTGCCGAGTGGCAAAGGGAATTACTATAAGCAACCTATACTATGATACAAGCGTTAATCTAACAATCCGAAACTTTCCTCGCAAGCTGCGACTTGCGTACTCTCGTAACCGCTGTGTTACTACACATCTTTTTCTTCATATTATTATTTTTGTTTTATTTTAACTACACCTTTTCTTCCTGTACCATACAAGTAAAACTTTCATATATACGTCTCCATAAATCTACCTTCACTACTGTCTGATTTATCTCGTCCATTAATTGCACACGTGACCTTTTACGCGTCTTTCTTCTCTCTGTGAGTCTTTGTTCAGATTTTAGCTTCTTTGTTTTTGGATTTTTACAATGCAAAGCTTTCCGGAGGTGCAAGAGCTACACTTGGAAAACAATCGGCTAAGCGAACTACCGACCGAATTACTGTCACTAGAAAATCTGACTTTCCTCGATCTCTCGGACAATGAAATTCATCGACTTCCGCCGGACATCTCTTCTCTCACCAGGTCAGTTATATTCATTGATACATTTGTTTATTCATGTAAAATTTATCTCTCTCTTTCTCTCTCTCTCTATATATATATACATATGCCAATTTATGCAATAATTTGTAAATGCAGTTTAAGTGCGAAAGGAGATAATACGTTCTATGCTTAAGCTTGGATTGAAATTTCACAGTAATGTTCCGGTAAAGAAAAAACGAAATATATATTAATTACATTAAGTGAATTGAATTTGTTTCTTAAACCGAATCCTAAGTTAGGATTTAAAACAAACTCCTTACATATAACTCATGCATAAAATTTAAAGTGATTTAAGTTTATGTAAACGAAAGATTTTATTACTGTTGGAAAAGACTACTAATTTTAATTCAACAAGTTTTAAAAGTAAAGATGTTAGAAAAATGTAAGATTAAATATTCCAATCGTTCGTTTATATGAGTAGTTTTGGAAATTTTCATGAAACATTTGCAATTTATTGCTAAATAATATCGATTAACATAATATTTGTTTGGAAAAAAGAGAATAAAGAAAAATCAAAACCCTCTAGTGCCCCAGAACATATATCTGTTTTTCACATAAATTACTATTTGCCAAGTTTACAAACTTTATGCTTTAAACAGGAGTACTTGACAAACGCGACAAGTGGTCAAAGTATCGAATTACACGTTAAAGCCTCGATAATTAGTAGTATATGACAAGAGCTAATGAAATATTACACGTACTTCTCGCATTTACGACACTAACGAATTCGTTGCTGTTGCGCCGTATAATTTTAGATCGCGGACCTTGGAAGCTGTGCGAAGAGTTCAAAGCTTCCCGCACTAATGGAGAAATTTACCAAATTACGCGAAGCTCAACGCCAGAGAAACCGCGCTCACCTTTCTCCCCTCATTACTTCTCCTTCTCTCGCCCATTCGCTACTCTTTTTTATTTTTACCACTAAAATGGCGTGTCTTGCCTGCGCATGCATGATACAAAAAAATTGCGGTCATTAGACGAAAAATTTGCAATCCAACGAAACATAAAAATACCAAATTCCACGAGTGTTTTGTGCTTTCTATTCGTGGAAATGTTTTGCAAGGCTTATTAAACTTGCGGCTTAAATTTCCTTTTCTTTTTCCCTGTATTATCCGACAAATTTTCAATATCCAAAAATGCTTAACTGACAATTATCATATATATTAAGTTAATTAGACTCGTGTGCTCCAACGCGAAACACAGTTATAATTTGTTGCGCAAACCTAAATTTTCCAAAGTTCTGTAAGGCATATTATAAGATTGTTGCAAATAACAAATCCAATCATCGATCTAATTTTTTTTTTTCCGTTCAATGAATAGTATAATGCAAATAATTCTAAATTTATACTCACCTGGGAACAATCCGTAAAATACATTTGAGGAAGGAAACTCAGTGGAGTTTGCAATTTGCTTTTAGTAGGCTTAACCAAAGCTATTCATTTTTAGTTAGCCACGCTAACTCCATCGATCTCTTGCCAAAAGGCATCGATCCTCGTTAAAGTGCTGCTCATCATTGTGAAATGCATAAAAATTTTTGTGCTGAATTAGCGCTTCCTGCCCAGGAATTGGCCGTAGCGTAAGTACGCAAAATAAAAATGGCGAGCGAAGCTAAAGAGTACGAAGCACAGAAATGCCAGCACTGCGCCTAGGCTCTTGAATTAATCAGAGAGGAATCCTTTGGAGTGGCAACTTTAGAATCGATCGAACGACCGTTACATGCACTACGGGGAAGCGAAATCATTGTGCACTTTTTCTCCTCAACGCTTGCATAATTGGCCGAGTTATTTCGTATATGTTATTTCGTAAATACGGGAAAAACGTCGGGGGACTTTTGGCGTTTTTTTTTTTTTTTTTTTTTTTTTTTTTTTTTTTGGACTTTTCCTTCACGTCACGTAAGCTCGCAAATACTTAGATTCCAGATCACTTTCGAGCCCGCTAGTCCGGATGAGCTTTACAAAAGAATTTACTTTTTCGAGAGTGGAGTTTGGAGCTTGGGTATTACGAAGGTAGCGGGAAGATAAATCGAAAATAAATCACATTGGATGCGATTTTTGAATTTGTGCTAAGGTGTTCTGCTTCTTGTTGTTACGCCTATGCAATGGATGATAAGGTTCTAATGATTCATAAAAATTTCATGCTTTGAAGAGAATGTGACATTTGCGCGCGTTATTGCGTATCGGTGAACTCGAATGTCCGTATGATGTATGGAGTCTGAATCTTGATCCGAAGTCTTAAAAGATATCGATGACTTTTGATTTAATTTAAACAAGGCAAGTTTTTATTACCTAGGCTTTCAATAAAATTTCTATTTACAAGTGAGCCGTAAGTGTGAACACTTTAATATAAATAAGTCCCGAACGTATGATTTTATTTAGATTTAATTACAATCTATATGTTAAATACTTTATAAAAATTTACATGAACTCGTTCACTCTCTCTCTCTCTCTCTCTCTCTCTCTCTCTCACTCTATGAACATAGATTTATGTTATTTTGTAATTTCTTTTATCTATTAGAAAACTCGTTTTAAATACAAGACACATACATCTTAAAAATAACTTTTCGTATCTTAGTTAAGATAATACGATCGCTCAAATGAAATAAGTTCCAATAATGAAATAAATGAAATATAAATTCTTAAATCTACAATCAAATATTAAAAAAAATTAACTGAAATTATAAGTATAAATATTTATTGTAATTTCGGAATTATTTTTCGTTAGAAAGTGAAAATTGTATATTAATATTAAAATGAAAATGCTCATATGTTAACCTGAGTAATTTAGTATGTAAAATTGAAAATTTTATAACATATATTGTACATTTTACTTCTGTGGTAAATATATATATATATATATTGTTGTCAATGAATGAGGAAAAATAAAGTTAAGAGAACTTTTCATTTATCTTTAAAATCATAGAAAAATAAAATCATTCATGGGAAAGAATAAGATTGAAATTTGAAAAATAAATAAAGTAGTTAGTAACAATGAAAGTAAGAAAAAATATTAATCATATGTTATTAATACATTATATAGTTAATTATCGAATAGCTCATATAAAATGTGCAATTTTACGTTCGTAAAGTGTATTTTACACTTTATACAACTTATGTACTATTACATTAGCCAAATACTTTAATTATTATTATATAATATTTTTTATTAAATAACATTACTTAATTAATTATACGTGCAATTTTTCTTTAACAATTAAACATCTTGAAAAACAACAGAGAATTTTACTTTACTACATAATATAACTTAAATGATATAATACGAATATTTTCTTGCTTTCGCCATTTCTATTTACTTGGAATTGCTTTCTAAAACTTATGTATAATCTAACATTGATTTGAACATATTGGAAATACAGTCTTTTTTTTTTTCAAGAAAAGTATTGCAAAATTGGATATACATGCACGTATACAATGCCGCGAAAGAATCTTAAATCTACATTAGAAATTTAAAGAATAATTAATCAATTTTTAATGATAGCATAAAATAAAAACGTATTAGTACAAATAACAAATATTTTTATACTTGAATTATTTGAATTGATCGACGATAATTCAATGTAAATATTTAATTCTTAAATATACAAAACTATTGTAAATTTATTCCCTTATATTCTATTCTATTATCGGAAAATTTTACTTACTATCGTCATAAAAAATAAAATAATCATTTTGCATATTAATTTTGTTTCACTTAAAATACGTTAATAATAATTTATCGATACGGTAATATGCTTGGCCAGAAGAAAAAAAAAATGAGTGAAATCAGTTTATAGTATTATTACCAATAGTTATTACTTTAATTAAAGCGTAGTTCCGATAATTTTATACTTGACACACAATTATTAAAGCTACTAATTTTCAGTCTCATACTTCAATAATATTATAGTGTTACTCCCGCATATACTAAATCTCTACAATTTCACAACGACAACTTGATCTAACCCGATCAATTTAATATATTGTATAATATCCGGATTGAAATTGTTCATGCGATGCATATTTGACAAAATACATCTGGCTGGCTTTTAAAATATTAAGATATTCTGCTAAATCTATGGTATTCCATATGAGAATATTGGCAACGAAACACAGTTTCGTTTTGCGTGTATCGTTAATTTCATAATAAAGTGCCCGATTTTATAAATGGCGAGCTTAATCGCGCATCATTTTAGCAATTGTACCGAGAATTATCGTACACGCAACACGAAGTACACTATATTTGCCATGCACACGTAGTAAACAAAGCCGATATCAGTCCGCGGTAAAGTAAGTACAACGAGACTACGGAAAAGCGGCTAAAATGGAAAAGAAGATTGCGCATACATTGATAGTGTAACTCGATAGTGATACAAGATCGATCTATAAACGAAGTAGCGAACGATTTTTCTTTCTTCCTGTCCCAGTCCGAGT